TATATATATATATATATATATATATATATATATATAGAGAGAGAGAGAGAGAGAGAGATAGATAGATAGATAGATAGATAGATATAAGTCGTATGTATTACTTTTCACGAAATTGAAGAACCCGTTTCTTTTCAAATCTGTTATGAATAGATTCGAACAAATAAACTTTCAAATAAATCGAATGTTTAAGATGAAGAAACAAAAAACATAAAATAATAACCAATTTAATTTCAGAAAAATTTAATTTGTGTAAAACGACAAAACAGTTCGCGCTGAAAAGACAACCTCCCATCTTTTGTTATTTTAACGACAAAATAAACGAGATTTTTCTGTTTATTGTGTATCATGTTGCCTTCGAAATTTATGATTCCTTGTTCAAATGACTCAGCACTTTTGGAGTTTCTTTTCATTTGTGTTCCACATTTTCAATTTACTTGAAACTGTCATGTCGTCCAACTGCTTAAAATTCCCCAGACATATTTGTCGTTCGTCTGCGTGCTTGTAATGACAAGAAAAATCAGAGACAGAAAGAAAATACTTGAAAAAATTAATACTAATATTTACGTTTGCCCGTATCACTTTGTGTGTGGACAAAAGTAAAAAAAATAAATAAATAAATAAAATAAAATAAAAAAAGCGAATAAAAATCAAATAAAACTAGAAATAAATAAATAAAAATATAATAACGTTTTATAGCTTCCTTTTAATTTTGAGATGTGGCATTTTCGATATATTTTGACAGGTTCGAATTATTGTTCTCAATTTTAACCGTAATTGATATCATGATAGGCACATTGTATTGACCACGCACCGTTTGTTCATCATGTAACGCGGAATAAGTTTAGGTTAAAAATTATGGAAAATAAAATATCTGTTAACAAATAAACAAATACACATGTGTGTCTATAAATATGAGATGAGTCATTATAACTATTTACACTATTGTTATCCTTATCTTTATTGTCATATTCCAGACGTTTCGGCCGTTGTAGGATCCGGCATTCTTCAGATGATATACGTTGGATTTTCGAACCGAATCCTTTATTTCGTCCGTGTGTGTGGGGGGGGGGTAGATTGATTTAGTTCCAACTGACATGCTTTTTCTGGATATCTTAGTTTTCGCCATTTTTTTTTATAACAAAAACATCGTAATATTAGGTTGTTTAGCTTTTGGAATTTGTCTTTCGCTAAAATAAGGTACGTTCGGATTTCGGTGTCACATTTTTCCCGCCTCTCTTAAAACACATCCCAGATTTAATGATTCTGTACTTGTTTGATGATAAGATATCTCCAATTCGTACTTCTTTTATTCTCTCTTTTCTTTACTACCTTGTCTATAGTCAGTGAGTTATGTGCCATGCCTGATACACGCTTAGGCGATCATGTATCTTTCGATACATGACTGACGAGGCATATTTTTTCCCGCAGTAGGTTGCCATTTCTTTCTACAGTAGACCACTTGCCATCCAAGGCTATAGAACTCGGTCGGTCCTGCTATAGTTGGGGTGGGGAGAAAAAGAGGATTCATACCTTTCCCAAGATTATTAGCAAGTAAGTGGGTGTAATGGATTCGACTGGAATTCGAACTCTGCTCTCTGATTCCTCAATCCGAGCCGCTATCCATTATTCCACCATAAGAGACTGTAATTTTCTTTTCTGTGTTTGCCAGCAATACAATGTCATCTGCGTATTTTAAGATGACGCCAGGCGATAATGTATCCTGGTAGGGACTTTTGATTGATTAGGTTTTTACGGCTTATCGACCATCTTAAGTTTATTTAAAAGCCGAAACATATTTTTGCATTGTAATAATTTTTTGGAGGTAACACTAATTTATTGACACAATTTAACTCATAGCTGGGAGAAGGAGATGTGAATTCATACCTTTCATAAGGGTATTTGCGTACGAGTGAATATAACGACCTAGACTGGAATTCGAGCTCGGCTCTCCGGTTTGCAATTTAGAACCTTTATCCGTTGCACCATTCGCACATTCAAGCTTACAGTACTTGATATTCTTGAGCGTTCACCCATCTAGATACTGATTAGGTTCAACGTTGCTTAACGTGGGTGATCCAAACAAGGACAGGTGTTTCAACGTGATATGGCCGTACACCTGCAGTGCCTCCAGTTCACTTAAGGTTGCCTCGCTGTAGAGGTTGAACTATCTATATTCCGTTGAAGAGAGAGCCACTTTGATTTTCAGCAAAAATCAGTCCAATATTGATATATTAGTATCAAGAAGGCCGTAGAGACATACGTAGAGACACAAATGACTCGGTAACACTACATTACAACTATAAGAGAGATAAACACACTATCCAGCGACATGGTCAACCATTTGTACATATTTCTGGTATTATGTACACTATTTACAATATTTGTACTATTGTCTTAATCTTTGTCGCCATATTTATCACAACGTTTCGGCCTTTGTACGCTCCGGCCTTCTTCAGGCGGTTGGAATGTCGAACTGAACCCTTTACCCTAAACCCTACATTGGTGAGAAAGTGACTAAAGCCAGGTGATGATCGATTGCTTTACAAAACCTTTTTTGGGACCTCCAAGAAGCTCAAGATGAAAAGCAGGAACAACAGACCAGATATTCCAGATGTATTCAATGCACGGATGAATTAATTTAATTTCTACCAACCAAAAAAATATGCCACAAGTTACGAATAAAACCTGTAATTCCTTTTTAATTTTGAAATAGCTTTCTCATGCCTACATTTAGCTTCAAAATATATCTTTAGATTAAATGATGTAATATGTGTTAGATTTCTGTTAAGAAGCACGTTTCCTTTCGAACTCTAGGCCGGTAGACATTCCTCTCACTGTTTAAAAACAACAATGTCTACTCAAATAAATGTAACGTTTATATTAAAAAAATATAATGGGATAAATATGTTAGATTTCTATTTCGAGATTTTATTAAAATTTATTAAAATTATTATTTATTAAAATTCATTATTAATATTTATTAAAATTATTTTAATTAATTTAATTAATTTTAATTAATTTATTATTAAACTTTATTAAAATTATTATTTATTAAAATCTATTATATTTCTAGATTTTATTAAAAAATATATCGGGATAAATATGTGTTAGATTTCTGTTAAGAAGCACGTTTCCTTTCGAACTCTAGGCCGGTAGACATTCCTCTCACTGTTTAAAGACAACAATATCTACTCAAATAAATGTAATATTTATATACAAAAAAATATATCGGGGTAAATAAAAATCCATTAATGACTTAAGAATATATGAAGTATATATTTGAGTATAAAAGAACGAATATCTGTTTTCAAAAGTCACGTAACAAGAGCGTTTCGACTTATCTGCTAATGATAAAGAGCGATACAGGTTCTTCTTTTTTTCCTTCCAAATTTAGTTCTACTGTGAGTTATGTTTGTGGAATATGACGTATATTTCATCTTAAGTTTAGAACGGTTGTCGGCAAGCTCCCACTGAAGGAAAGAAAGAAAAACAAACATAAAATATCAAACACACAAAAGGGAAAAGGGGAAATAAAATAAAAGAGAAGGTGGGGAAAGAGTTCGTTAAGTCGTCATTTAGTTTCTTAATTTATCTGAATTATGATCATGCTACACCATTGTGACTGAAAGTGTAAAACGCACCCATTGTTCGCAACGTGTCTACCAATCGGCTGTCGATCGATTGCGGTTTCGTTATTTTTGTACACTGGTGACATCGGTGTTAAACGTGTGCACGTGCCGTCTCACTCTTTCTGTACAACAATGAATTTTGAACATTAACTGCAGACCTCCAGCAAACAATCCCAGAACTGAGATGCCACACAACCATCAAAGTCATCTATCTAAACCACATTAAAAATGATGCAAACAGCATCAGACAGGTTTGCAGCTACATCACGTTTTAACACCAATTCCCGTATGACTACCGAAGTTAAGCAACGATAGTACCTAGATTGGGTGACCGTTTGCGAATATCAGGTGTCGTAAGGTTGGATGTACCGGTGATCTAATGGATAATGTTTCGGAATTATTAATCAGAGAGCCGAGTTTCAATTCTTATTCTGTTCGTTATATTCACTTACACGAAAATTCTCTATGGAAAGGCATGAATCCACCTTTTCCCCTCTAGTTATGGGATAGTTAATAAACTTTGTATTAGTAAAACCATTATTTTTATTTTTAAAAAAAAAAGTAATAAAGAAAATACATACATGATATTTAGATTTCGGCATTAAATAACCAAAAGATGTTGATATGCCACTAAATACAATCAACCAGCCAATACCATCAGAGAAGCCCGCTAAGAAGACCTTTCTTCTGTCAAGAAAGGTAGGTGAAACGGTATAGCCATCTCACAAGTGCCAACAATGTTTTCACGACCATCCTGTAAGATAGCACCTTAGACAACGTAAGAAGTATTAGACAGAGTAAAACATGGATTTGCAGTGTCACTAATTGAACTGAAAGATTATTCGCAGAAACTCAGTCGTTTTCTTCATAAAGTAGAATCGTAGAGATCATAGGACCGTACTCGATCATCGGACCGATATTAGCAGAGAAAGCTAAATATATACAAAAGATAATAAACTCTATAAAGATGTATTGATGCTATGAAACAACAAAAAAGTAGCAATACGTTGAGATAACCAAATAATCAAGTATAGAAACAAGAAATCCAACTTTATTGATCAAAACACAAATCAGAAATAAATAAAAAACAAGGAAGAAAATGACAAATTCAATTGATTCATAGAAAGAGTAAAGGCTAGCTGAGAGTGCTGGCGTTTTGATTGCTTTCAGTTTTATTTTTTCTATGGGGAAATAAACAACAAACAATTGGTGCGATGTAAAGTGTTATTAAGACTAAGATAAGTCGTTGTGTCTATCACAAACGCAAAATAAGTTTGATTTTGAGCGCGACACAGTTAAGAAATATCGGGCAGTTTTTATATCCAGTTTTTCAAAAGTTTTTTTTCTTTATCATTTTTTCCTCTTTTCAAGCCATTCTTTATTTTATTTTCTTTCTTTTTTTCTTCTTTCTTTTTGAATGCGTATTTTATTCTCTTTCCTTCTCCATTCTGTTTTATTTTATTTTTGCTTTATTTTACCTTGTTTCGATGTTTGCTTTTATCTTTCTTCAAAGACAGTATTTTCCTTTTTTTATTTTCTCACTTTTTCCTAATGTCTTTGACATTTCTTTCTTTCTTTCTTTCTTTTTACATTTCTTTCTTTCTCTTCTTTCTTTTTACATTTCATTTTATAATTTTCTTCTACTTTGTTTATATTTTTAGTTTTACTAAATACAGTGTATTCATTTCTTCAGTTTTACATTTACGTTCTTTCATTATTTTTCCTAATTTCTCATTTTCCTCTTCTTTCTTTCATTCATTCTTTTTCTTTCTTTCGTCTTTGTTTCATTCTTCGTTTGTTTGTTTCTTTCATTGCTGAAGTCTGATTTTATTTTCCTCTTCTAGCAGACCCTTTTAGGCTTTTATTTCATTTTTCTTCTTCATTTTGACTTCTTTGTCAGTATTCACTTCTTTTTTTCATTCTTTAAATACATCGTTTTCCTTTCTTCTTCAATTTCGCATTTACGATCTTTCTTTCTTTGTTTTCCTAATTTCCTTATTATTTTAACTTCTCTTATAACTCTCTTTATTTTCTTTCTTTCTTTTCCATAATTTTTTGCATATATTCTCTACTCCCCTCTTCTTTCTTTCTTTCTGTCTTTCTTTCTTTCTTTCTTTCTTTCTTTCTTTCTTTCTTTCTGTGTTGTTATATCTTTCAGTTTTTGCACACATGCCTTTGCATCTCTTATTCCATTTTCTCTTTTTTATTGGGGATTATGCTTATTTCTTTAATTTCCGTCATCCATATTTTTCTCGCTTCTAATTTTTCCTATTCTTTTTGCTTTATCTCTTTCTAGTGTTTCCTTTCTTCCTCATTCAAAATTCATTCAGTTTCGTATTTATATAGAACCGATTCTCAACTCGATGAAATAAAGATTAAAAAAATAAGCGAAAGAAGAAAAAATCAAATATAAAAATCGCAACGCTCATTTAAAAGATGCAATAAAGAAATTATACTTTTTCTGCTTCTTAATATGATACTTCAAGTAATGCTATCTATCTATCTATCTATCTATCTATTACAGTTTGTTCATATCTATCTATCTATCTATCTATCTATCTATCTATCTATTACAGTTTGTTCATATCTATCTATCTATCTATCTATCTATCACAGTTTGTTCATATCTATCATATCTATCTATCTATCTATCATAGTTTGTCTATCTATCTATCTATCTATTACAGTTTGTTCATATCTATCTATCTATCTATCTATCTATCTATCTATCTATTACAGTTTGTTCATGTCTATCTATCTATCTATCTATTACAGTTTGTTCATATCTATCTATCTATCTATCTATTACAGTTTGTTCATATCTATCTATCTATCTATCTATTATAGTTTGTTCATATCTATCTATCTATCTATCTATCTATCTATCTATCTATCTATCTATTACAGTTTGTTCATATCTATCTATCTATCTATCTATCTATCTATCTATCTATCTATCTATCTATCTATTACAGTTTGTTCATGTCTATCTATCTATCTATCTATCTATCTATCTATCTATCTATTATAGTTTGTTCATATCTATCTATCTATCTATCTATCTATCTATTACAGTTTGTTCATATCTATCTATCTATCTATCTATCTATCTATTTATCTATCTATCTATCTATTACAGTTTGTTCATGTCTATCTATCTATCTATCTATCTATCTATCTATCTATCTATCTATTATAGTTTGTTCATATCTATCTATCTATCTATCTATCTATCTATCTATCTATCTATCTATTACAGTTTGTTCATATCTATCTATCTATCTATCTATCTATCTATCTATCTATCTATCTATCTAATGAAAATCGTTCTACTGAGGTCCTCCGGAATATCATCACTGTTATTTATTTTGTCTGTAATCTTGTCAATGCCGAAATCATATAAGGTTGCCACTATCTCTATTACAAATTTCTCTTGCTGCTTTGTTTCTGTTCATTTGGCCAGTTCCTATTTCGATTCAAATTTTAATATTTCTGGTCTTCGATATTCCTGTGGATTGCTGTTTTTTCCTTCGTCTGTCACCGATGTATTCCTTCCATGTCTGAAGTATTTTTTCTTTCTCTAATATCAATGACCTGTCCTTGGATTTTATGACTCCTGTCGATGAGCATGTCTTTTATCTTCTTAATTTTATTTATTTATTATGTATATCTGTTTTATCTCTGAGACACACTCTGTCTATTTTTGCGTATTTTTCGTTGAGCCATTCCTCTTTAGATTGCCTTTATTTATTCCTAATTTATTTTGTGCAGAGTCTTATATTCTGGACCCAAACCTTGGCATTATTTTTTGTCTCTTTTACATCATATCGAGAATTTCATCTGTCATCAATTGTTTTTTTTTTCATTGTCTATTTTTCTTTAGGTGAACTCGATTGCTGATGTTACTAAAGCTTCTATTAATGTGAACTCATTCTACCGCATTTTAACGGTGTCAATATATTTACCTTCACAATCAGGCCATTCAAGTTTCTGTCGTATTGCAATGTTAGGGCTACCTTAGCTCTCATTATTTCCCGTAGTTTCCCTCTAAGTTTACATATCATTGCAAAGTGGTCGCTCCTGAAATCAGTACTTGAATATGTATGGCAGTGTAAAACGGCATTCCTGGATATCTTTTTGATAATTATGTAGTCGATATTGTTTTCGTTTCTCTTTCTGGAATTCTCCATGTCCATATACGTCTCGGGTGTTCTTGTCACCAGGTGTTAGTTACCAACTGTTCGTTCGCCTTATGCGTTTGGACTTTTTTTTCGCCACGTTCATGACGTGCTCCTAGACCGAATTTGACAACTATTTCAGCATCTCTTCTCTTGCTTAATTTGGCATTCAGGTTTACCATGGCAATTGTAATTTCTTGCGATTTGCATTGAACATTGATTTTGACTAGCATAGTCTTAATCAATGCTCATATATTAACCAATGATCATATATTAACCAATCAGCGGCGTCGTGTGAAATTCGCTGCAATCATTAAATTTTCAACTTTTATGCCACATCTAACCTCGTGGGGCGGTTAGCAAATATCCTTGCTTCGGCAATAAGTTGGAGATTCATCTCCAGCTAAGCTGGTCGAACTCTCTACCGTCGGGCGGAGAGGAATCCAAACTAAGCTACGCTGAAGGGCAGAGTCTCATCTGTGGTGGTAGACAGCAACCCGAACCCATTTTTTACGAGATCTACGGGAAAATTTTGCCCCAGCCTACGGGATCAGATACCCCGCGTTAAGTTCTGTCTTGTGCTACATCTGACACCGTGTGGCGGTTGGCAAATATCCTTGCTTAGCGAATTGGAAATTCGTCTCCAGCAGAGAGGAATCCAGACGAGATTATTACCTCGCATTAAAAAAGGCCTTGTACCACATCCTGCCTCACGGGGGAGCTAAGGTAAATAACCATGCTTTGGGAATCAGTTGGAGATTCATCTCTAGCTGTGCTGGTCGAAATCTCTGCCTTTGGGCAGAGAGGAACCCAGACAGCTACCTGACCCCGTTTCATACGGAGAATTTTTGACCGAGCCTACGGATTCGGATACCCACTTTAAATTCGGCCTAGTGACACATCTGACTGCCTGTGGCGGTTGGTAGATATCCTTGCTTGGGAAATTACTAGCCTGCCACCCGATTCCCTGGATTTTATTCTCTTTTATAATAAACCTCTCTTTCTTTCATCTATGCGCGTGTTGCTGTTCCTTCACTCGAGTACCAATTTTGTCTGTTTGTATCCTCTTAAAGGATACGACACTTGTAAAGATTTTTTCTCATATTCTATGAATCTTAGTGACCACTTGCGATTCAGTGGTTTTAATCCCTTGCTTAGGAAGAACTAATTAAAAGAAATCATTAAAATTTTAAAAGACCTAAAACATTCGCAGATACACATGTCATCAGTAATGACAACACTATTGCAGTCGTTTACATATGTGCAGCTCTGATAAAGAATTGTAGAAAATGCAATAGATTTATGTGCTGTCGCTGAAAACTCATTTCTTCACTTTGAAATTCATTTTTTGCATAGAACCGGATTACACAGATGTCGAATCATTTTTGTGCATGTTGTAGGCTCCGATTTGAACTTCCACATTCGCATATTTTAACCAATCAGCGGCGTCGTGTGAAATTCGCTGCAATCATTAAATTTTCACTTTAGAATATGATCGACTACATTTTCCCAACTTAAAATGAACATTTAGAAACGGGAAATATTTATTAACCAATAAAATTATAACTTTAATAAAATCTAACTTTTAGTTCTTATGAGCTGATTTCTCGGGAATAAAAGCACTCATATTATTAACCTTCGACCAGGATCATTTGTTCGTTATACAAGCTGAAATCCTCAAACCTTAATTAATTTCTCATATATTTGCATATTTATTCGAGTATACTATATTACAAAAAGGCTTAGCGATGTTGAGTTAAGAAGCACAAACGCAAGAAGTAGTATTAACACAGCTTCCTGCTGACAACTTTTAGGAAATTACACGCATACACAAAACTACGTAAATACGTGACACTCATTTTCATACGTAGTAGCATTCCGCTTTTTCTATACTAACGCAATTAATTTGCTTGTATTGTAAAGAAGTCAAACAAAAATATTTTTTGTGTGAAGTTGTTTTGCTAGGAATCTTTATATTTCATTTCTTTCAATTTGAAACAAAGCAAATATTCAATAATAACATTTACCTGTAGAGCCGTGTTGAAAATTTCGAATTTCTTCTTTTTTACACGCCTTAATCGCTACACATAGATCTTTTTTATATTAATTTAAATAAGTTGCACGAAGAAAACTTAATCCTTGAATACAAATAAAATTCAAACCTGTTCTGTATCAAAAACTTTGTGACGTGACAAGATTTTAATGTTAGAAAAGGTTATAATTTGACAATATTTAATCTAAAATTAATCGGTTTTAGATTTTTAGATTTTATCATTATGAAAGGTATTTGTGTAAGAAAGTTCGGAAAATAAACTGACATGTGGTGTATCTGAAAAATAAAGAAGTCTTAAAATATGTCTTTCGAACTTTCTTTAGCTAAGGACTATTGTTGCTTTATTTTATAATAGCAAGAACTTTATTTACCACATAATCTGTTTGCCTTTTTACGGGAACCTTCCGTTCTTCCGTAGTTACGTTATGCTGCTTCAGGCGTCAATATCCTTGGTTATTAAAATTATCATTATTCAAATATTGAGATATTTTAATGGCGCGTATGGAAGATAATCTCAATCAGAATATTGCCACTATTTGAGTTATGGAAAGTGAAATATTGAATACAGAACAAGGGAAATGAAATAGAACACATTTGCAAGTTAAAAACAAGAAAAAAATGTAAATGTATTTAGGAAAAATTGAAAATATAATAAGTAAGAAAGTCTGATTGGTCAGTAAGAAAATATTTGAAAAAATATATTGTGAATAGAAATGTGAAGAAAATAGAATATGTTAAGATGTAGACTAAAAGAAGAGACCAGTTTATCACATTTAAGAAAATATCACAAATAAAGTCATGTAAGTTTGATGGAGTAATA